CTTCTTCCTTTTTCTTCTTCAATCATTAATTCCTAAAAAAACACTAATAAAAATATTGATCAATATGTTATATACAAACATAACAATTAAATTATTTAGAAAAGTAACACAAAAGTTTTGTTATTGCAACATAATTTTTAGAAAACAACAAACAAGATACAATGAAACAACAATACACTACTTATCAGTAACATAAAAACAACTTTGTATTAACAATAAAATATATACAATTAATTTTTATAACAAATATGTGAGATTGTAAATTTTACAACAACAAAATAATCACCATTACAACATTCATTAACACATAAATTCAAATTTCATAACACAAAAAAAAAAATTTATGCCTTAAATGGATCATCAGTATATGGCAGTTAGGAAATTTGAAATTTTATTTAGCAAGTATCAAACTAATTGCGAACATAAAGATTCAGAGAATATAATTTAACACAGTTACCTTCATTTAAATAGGATTTTTTTTTTTTTTTACGAAAAAAAAGGAACTTTGTTAACATAATCCTCATAAAAAATTGTTCATCACGATAATAAACATAAAAATTCAATCGTACTGTTTCGGGAACATCACGCAGGCGCCTCGTCCTCCGAACTTCTTAGGACGCCAGGTGTGACATGGCGAGGGAAGAAGAAGAAGAATATGGAAAAGGGGATGAAGAATTGAGGACGGGGCGGTCGTGGAATCTCCGGAAAGGAAAGGACGATAGCTTGTAGAAAAATGGGGATTGAGTGGTTTCGGAAATGTGAGAAAGAAAGAATAAGAAGAAAGAAGGTAAGAAAAACGATGAAAAAAAAAGGGTAAGAAGGAAGATAAAGAAGAAGAAAACCTTCCTTAAAAAAATGACTTTAAAAAAATACAAAATAGTAATATAATGGAGTAGATTTGGAATACACCATTAGCTGTATTAAGTAAGGAATAATATATTTTAAAAAAATATACAGTGTCTTTAATTCCAAGTTCCTAATAATTGATAATATATGTATATATATAGAGAGAGAGAGAGAAGATCATATGAGAATGAATGATATTGAATGAAATGAGAATAAATCTGGACCATAAGATCAAACATATTAATGATTATGATGAAGTCAAATTGTGGTCAATCATTAATGGCAATCTGATAATTATTTGATCATATTGTGGTCAAATATGTCCATTTAACTAATAATAAGGGTAAATTGTTAAATAAATATAAGTGGGACCCACTAAATAAATCAATTCACTCCACACTTTTCTCTCTCCTCAACCTCACCACACACTTTTCTCTCTCCTCAACCTCTCTTCTCTTTTTCTCTTCCCGCACAGAACACACACTGCACACACACACACACACACACACACACAAACACAGAGTTCCGGCAGGCCGACCGCCACATCGCCGCCACCTTCCGCCAACAGCCATCACACCTTTCAGCCACTGGAGCATCGTCGCGCAGCCACCTCCGTTGTACCTGCACAACCGCCGCCGCATCTCATCTCGCCGCCGCCGGCTTTCTGCCTGTCGCCGGGTTTCAGCCCGACGTCGACCACTTTCTGAGCTCGTCGTCGAAAATTTCAGCCCACCATCAATATCCCGCCCTCGCCACCGCCACCGCCACCGTATAAAACCAGTCCGCCGTTTCGAGCACCTCCGCCACCACCCGACACCGGAAACGTTGCTGCCGTCGCTTCCAGACCGACCCCGCTTCCATCCATTGTCGTCCGTCGTCCGCTAATTCCGCCTTAGTCAACAACCGCTTCAATGTCGTGAATCTTCCCGCCATGTTGGCCGCTCGCCAGTGTCGGCGGCTACAAACAGTCCAATGTCGGCCGCCGACAACCAATATGATTTTGGCCGGATATAGCAGATTGTTATACCATGAATGTTGTTTGAGTTGAGGTCATTTATGTGAGAATTTGATTTATTATACGGGCCTAATTGCAAATTTTGAAATTTTATTTTATTTCAATTGAGTTCATTTGACAAATTGATAGTATAATAAAAGTTTAATACATATACAATTATACATAAAATGCACTATATTAATTCTTTATACTCCAATAAAAATTATTGCTTAATTTATTTTAAAAATAAATAAAGAAAAAAAATAATATATTTAATATAGTTTGGTTTTTATTTTAGTTATTTAAATAAAAAATGTCATCGCATCGAAAATTGATATATAAAAATAATAATAATAATCGGAACAAAATATAATATTTCATGCTAAATTTATATTCATCGGATCTCGTTCTATTTTGTGCAATCTGGTAGGCATTTATGTGCAATTAGTATAACCATTATGTGCATTCGCAATACATATAAAAAATAAATAAAAGAAAAAACTAGTATAATTTTTTATTAAAAAATATAAAGAAAAAAAATTGGTAATATTAATATAGTTCATCATGTGCAGTTATTTTTATTTATCTAAAAGACTAAATTCGACATTTAACCAAATAATTTATTCGATCGATTAGCATAATTACCATCGTTTTTTTGTACGCGTATGTTGTTTTATAAGTTGTAACATGTCGTGTTATAAAGTGCAACATATTTCTGCATATAGTGCAACATATTGATATATAAACTGCAATTATGTAGACCTATTTTTTAGATCTATACCACGAAATATTTTTTTGCGGGAGCAATGTTACTTATGTTGATAAAGTGCAACGGGTCGTCTTATAAAGTGCAACTTATTGTTTTATAAAGTGCAACATCTCGCTATATACGTGCACTAATTCATAAATTACTGACGTTACTTATGTTGATAAAGTGCGACGAGTCGTCTTATAAAGTGCAACTTAATGTTTTATTAAGTGCAACATCCTGCTATATAACGTGCATTAATATATTAATTATGTGTATTCGAAAATTATTGAATAGATATAATTGTACATCAAGTTAATTTAAATTATTAAAATATCTTATTATTTATTATTTTTTGTTATAGAAATTACTCATTAATATAAATTATTTTTATGTTATTTTAATATTTTACATTATTGTTATTTTTTTATTTATCATATAATATATATGCATAACAAAAAGTACAAAAATGAG